AGTGTTTAATCAAATTTATCATTATAATTATTACAACTCGAATATGATATAGTTTCAAGTTTTCCATCCTTTTATTTTAAAAAGCATTGATAGCTATAGCATCCAGCTCGAAAATCTTGCAGATACAACTCATTTACCAAATAATGATGCTTCCTTCTACCTGTCATATATATTCTAACAAAACCATTCTATTCTGAATTCTCAACTTGCTCTAATTATGAATTAATTATTCGCCATCGTTATTATAATAATAATTCAATCAATCATACAATAATTAGATGGTGATCCCATAAGCTGACAGTGAGACGCTTCATCAGATCTATAAGAAAGCTTTAATACAAAATTTGCAGTTTCCAAAGCGATTTCAGGTTCCATGTTGGAACCATCACCTCATAGCTCAGTCAGTCGGAACAATCTCGTTAGACTCTGTCGATGAATATGTATTTGTAATAAAATAGGCCTTTCAATTGCCTATTTACACTGTTAATTTTTCCTTTGCAAACGGTAATTTGTGCGGACATCAAAGAAACCATGGCTAAGACCACCAAGCCAAATGAATTTTCCACTTTGATCCCGCCGTATCGAGGACCCTCATTGTAGTTGCTAATCGCACCAGGTGCTGGATGCGTCGGCTTGACACAAAATAATGGAACGGCGGCGTACCCGAAATGACAAGAGAATAGTTTTGAGGTGTCTTGTTTCGTACGCCAAACATTGTGAGAAAAGTAACAGTTCCCTTCCTCCGCTTGCCTTTGTGATTTTTGCTGCTCGTGCAGTGAGCGTGTTTTTGATGGGCAGAACAGGGCGGTCTCTGATTTACTTTTAAAATGCCGTCGAATTTAGTAGAGCACAGACCACCAGTAACGCCATAGCCTAATATTTGATACCTACACCGATGGCTCTACTGAAGAACTTTGGCACAACAACACACTGAAATAATTATTAGTTAACTTTATTATACACAATTATTAATTTTAATTATTATGTAAATATCAATATTAATGTAATTGAATTACCATAGGAGAGGATAAATAAATGCTTTGCTTTATAAGAAATTTCTGTCAAGTCGGAAGGAATAAATTTTACTTTTTACAATCCTATAAACAAACAAGGTGAGGCGCTACCGACTGCATAATACTTATTCACGGCCAAATAACAATTAAGTTTTTTTGGTAAAATATTCATGAAGAATTCTGCAAGTAAGCTGTCGGGCCTTGGAGATAGTTTCCAAAACTTCACCCACAAGGTGAAAAATAGATTTATAATTTTTGTATATCCATGGAGGATGTCTACAGTATTTAGCTGTTTAACTTTAGAAGATACGTTTTACCCGATGTGCCATGCCCGGCATAGATATTTTCACTATATATTCCAAATTTGAAGTCTCTAGGTTCAATAGAGCTGAAATGGTTTGCGCACAAAAAAAACGACCAATATGTTTTTTCGCTTCTTGAATGGGTACACAAAGTTAATAATCATAATTATAATTATAATAATCATAATTAGAGGCTCAGAAGAGGCACTCAAGACACACCAGACCAAACACACTTTGACAGGCTTCTGTTACTTCAAAATATATTTTATATATTTTTTTTTCACTATTTAAACATAATTTTCTGATTAAAAACTAAGCATAGTCCTTCTGGATTCGCTTAATACACATTTTGTAAATGTTCCTGCTACTTTTTTAAACTGTGTGGGTGTATGTACATAAATACAGATGGATGCCATGGAAACGGTTGATTGGTTTTCTAAAGGAATTTACCTTGACTGCACTTCACGTGCGAATTAATTCGTTTCACTTGGCTAAGATTCTATAACGAACCAGATCCTTGCCATTTGGTTTGTTTGACTCGCCAATGTTCCAGGTATTTGAGTGAGAAATTCATTTTTCTGCTTATAGTTTTCTTCTGTCATCCAATCTTACTCAATAATGGAAGAGTTCGTTTGTTTATAGAATTCATAGATTGCAAGTTAATTAACAAACTTGTAAAATCTTCCAACATCAGGTTACTCTCTTACATAGAAACCCATAAGTTTTGCATACGACTTTTAGGCTCAATGAAATGAGTAAATAGAATTTGATTTGGAGAGGTTGTAAAAAATGATAATAATAAATTACCTTTTAATGAAAACTGCTCTGCTCGCAAATAAAAATAAAATATTAGGTGCTATAGGCCGGTGACCTAATTCGTTTTTGAAGTGCTCCAAAACCCTTTTGTGTACGCTATCCAATGAAAACGAAACTTCTCGTCCAAATGCCCTTACTATACAGAGAGCGTATGCTGGTCCCACTAACCTAAAGATGCCGCACCTTTCTTATGCTCACGTCATGATCGTGCATTCCCAATTGACAATTACGGAGTTAACGAAATTCTTCCTGCAAAGATCAACGTCAGTGTAAGTTGATTAATGCACTCCAGTCTCGGTAACTCCCGCGGGATGAGTTTTTCAACTCTCAAAAAAAATATATAGAATAAAGCCCGTTGGTGAAATATATTAAATATATAAATGTATATCAAATTCCAAAATTCTAAATAAAAAAAGAAAACTTTAGTCGCAGATGTCCGACTAGTAAATACCTCGATTGAGTTCCATCTTTTTAAGTATAAAGTCTAATCGTCTCATAAACTTAATAAGAAATCAACAACTCTTGCAGTAAGTTAAAAACATACTTTAAAAATATATTGCATCTAATTAATAAGTTTAAGCTGTGGGATATTTGTCATACACACGGAATGAACTGTTCGAAGTATCAAATAATTAGGCTTGTAATTTTGCTGTAGACATTTACATTGGAATTTGATGACAAATTAAAATTAGCGTTTAAATTAAAATTTGCACAGTGCGTACTTCTGTCGTTCCATGTGCCATTTACTATGGTTGGACTTTGAAGCATTTATCTTTGGTTACCATTGGACCTTAAACTAGAAAGGGCCGTCGGCATAATAAGTGAAATACAATATTACTGGATCGAAGCAATACATCGTCACCCATTTGGAACAAATTGATTTTCCTTAACGGGCGACAAAGTCGATCCAGCAGAGCAGATATTGTGTAGAGTTTTGAGGAACGTGATCTTTTTACTATAATTAAGAATACGAAGGCTCATGCGTTGCAAATTGGAAACTGAAAGAAAACATACCAGTTGTCACTGGTAGAAACTAGCAATGGTGTCTCCTTTCATACTAAATACAATGGCCACCCGAGCATTTGTGATTCCTGTGCGTAGATTCAGTTGCTTAAGGTGTGGGTGCAACTTGTCAATGCTTGGGTTTGATGACTGGACTTCTTGACTGTTTTTCCTTTTATTTCTTAGAAATAAGCCTATGTTAAATCAATTTGTTCCAACTCGTTGAAATTCAATTGGAAGGCCCGTTTCGTTTCAGCTGTTCGACACGAACAATTTTGTGTTTTACGCTCGCATTACTTGCCTCAAATGGAGTTTTCAAATGAATCTAACTTATCTATAAGCGTGTTCAAAATGATACCGAGAAATCGCAATTTACACGATCATTTTAATTTTCTCTTATACTTCAATTGCCCAATTTACTCAAAATATAAATATATAATTACGCACCTATATTATCTGTTTTTTGCTTTTATGGATTTATCTTACGAATGGGATTAACAACTGTAAATATACACCCATAGTTTGTCACATACCATGTGTGCATATATAAAACGCAAATATTGAGTGCCTGTTCCCACAGAGGTACATAAAAAATAATTGATTTCTAATTAAGAATTAAGATTTATATTAAAAGCTCTCAAAAAGGCAAACAACATCCAGAGATATTAACAGATACGGAAATAGTTTCTCAATAAATGAAGTTGTTTGACGAGCACTAATGAAATGAACCAATTCAAATGAACTAGTTCAAATGAAATTGTTAAAGTGACCTAGTTCAAATGAACTTTTTCAAATAAACTTTTTTAAATGAACTTTTTTAAATAAACTTATTCAAAGAACTAGTGGAAATGAACGTAGTTATTGATTATTTGAAACTTGAAACTTGATATGCGTGTGCCGTAGACGGACATACAAAAAAATGTCAAGTCTTTAGCTCAGAAGATGCAGAGATCGACGCGTTCACACATACGGACAGACGGACATACAGACAGACAGACAGACGTCAGGGCTCAATCGACTCGGATTGTCGTCCTGATCAAGGATATATACACTTTATGGCTGCCACGCCTCCTTCTGCCTATTACATTTTCACAAAACCATTTTACTCTCGGATCAGGGTATACAAAGTGAGCTGATTTTGGACCAAGAACGAGTGTTATACATTCAGTCATGTTCGAATATATCTTTCTTAATTACTTTAACTTGGATTCTTGCTATTGAGTTGAGCTTGGTATGTGGTAGAAGCAGAAAATGTGATTCCAGGATCTTTGGATGTTATATGTGACAAATGTGCTACGGCAAATGGATGATACAAAATTTCAAGTGTTTCGTTTTAAATAAAAGATGAAAGACATATAGCGTGTATATGGATTTCTGGTCTCTTTAACAGCGGGGAATTGCTTTTATTCACACAAGCGGTCTGTATTCAATACGTGATAAGTACAGACATAAATTGTATGATGTTTCTAACAACATTTTCTAACTGTATGTATATATGTTAACGGGAATTTATATAATAGACAAATATGTTTGTTAATCTGTATTTGTTTGCTTCCGAAAATAATAATAAGATAATAATTTATATCGATCGAGCATTTAATGAATATATACAATAATTGTACACGGGATCAGATTCATGAAATATTTATAAACCGATTGCTTCTAGTCAATTACACATTTACTTGTGAACATATATGTTAAAAATGAAACAGATCTACAACTTACAAAAACATATATATATATGTCTAAGACCCTTAACCAGGTAGATAGTACTACCTGACTGTTATTGCGTACATCGTAGTTTTTAGTGGTTGTTTTCGGGCAGCAAAAGTGGTACAAAAGGCAGACACTGCAGAACAGAATCATCATTCTTACTCCAGCTCTTATATCGACCGGATCAGTTTTGATATTTTGCTTTAAAATGATTGCCGAGAACATTCCACATGGCAACACCATCCCGAAGCCAGCGAAGAGATCGTTTACTGGTGCTGTCGTAAACCTGAAAAAACTAATGAAAACAGTAAAACGAATTTTCGAAACATCGAGGCCAGCATTGGAAGAGCACTTCTCTGAACCGATTTTGACAAGTGCTCCTACAGAGGAGGAGCTTCAAAACTGGCTTAATGAACAAATCGAAGCCAAAAAGGAGGCGCTGTAACAGAATTCTGCTGGAACTCCTGACGACCTGTGATAGGACTTGTGCTCCGGCACGATTCCAATGTCGGCAAATGGCTTTAAATTCATTCTGTGATAGCGAGAGTACGAGACTGATGAACATAGATATGTACACGCCTCGAGAACACTTCAAGATCACGGCTCTTGCCACTTATACAACTGTACTTGATCATTGTCTTCCGTTAGCTTTAAGTAATTGTTTTAATGTTTATTTGGATAAATAAAATAAAACCAAGAAAAAACAATTCTTAAGTGTTCTTGTATTACGTTATATAGAGTAAATTACTAGGAAATAAAAAAGAGGCAAGGTCACACAAACCGAACTTAAGGGTAAAGTTGCACATTGCGTTGACCCCAGCAAATTGCCAACATCATTGGAATCCAGCTACGACATGAGGTTTGTAATCTTTGTCAAAGTAAGGACCAACGGCGTGTTAAAGAACTTATCTGCAAACACTAAATATGCCACCTCTAGATATAATAGATGTAGATCCAAGCATCCGAACAAAACAGATGAATTATATTAATCTACCAAACTTCAAGACTAGCAAACGACCTCCTGACAATCTGCCTCCTAAATACATGCAAATTCTAATTAAAATCAACTTAGTTTAGTAATTAATAATCATTATTATTCAAAAAATTGAAGTTAAATCAACATTTTATCAATATCCTATGTTTCATAAGGGTGAGCTTAACTAATAAACTGTTCACGTTCCACGATCAATTCACCTGTGCGGGCTAAGCCAAAATCAAGTTAGATGCTTGAAAAGGCAAAAGAAAAGAAAAAAGAACAAGTATGGAGTACTGATTTCAATTCAATTCAATCTATTTTTTCGCTATTCATAATAGTACGTTGTAACTAAATTCGAAGAAAAGAAGAACATGGGTTTAATTCTAGATTACAATAAAAGAACAGTATATGAAAACATAAACATTTTCTTTTAACAATTACAGTATAGGGATTTTTAAAATAAGTAATGGCTTTGGGAAGAAAATATAAGGAAAGATCATTTATATAAAGATATTTTGACAGTAGGCTCGACAATGTAGGTCAGTCGTAGAGTAGTTGGGTTACTATAGATGAGTTTGAAGACTTTATTTTGACTAATTTATCTGATTTTTATCAATATATGATCATACTAGTGCACCGCGAAAACACACTGAATGAAAAATAAATCTGAACAAAAACAGTATGATTTTGCGAATGGTTTTTAAGTTTTTGTTTGTGTAATTTCTCTCTGTCCTGTCTGATGCTCAAGTACTTAACATTTCCTTCCTACTTCGTGACTAAACTGACATCGACTGTGAGGTGTAAAGAATATAGCTTTCATCTCCTTTGGGTAAATTAAAATCTACCATTTGGAGAAATATGAGTCAACTGAATCAAATATCTCGTAACCTGAGATACATCTGCTGAACGAAGTATGTAGCATATTTTTGTTTTAGCAAATCGCCAGCAAAATGTCAGCAAAAAGAACAAATTGAGTCTATTTGCCTTTTTCACTAACGAATCGCTTCCCCATACATTCAATATATCAGAACATCCAGAATAAATGATTATGTATTCAGTGAGATATTTCGGAAGCCAAGATTTTAGTATTTCTAAACAATAACAAAATATTCCCAAAAGCCGGTGTTAAAAAAATTATAAGCCCTATTAAAAGTATAAATATCCGTCAGTGCTTCTGGTTGAGGTATAAATACCAGCTTCGTCCTGGAATTCATCCATTCAGCCATACCAAAGGTTATTCGCCATTTTTTTAAATTAGACTAAAAGTTTCTGATATTGGGAAAACCGATTTTTTAATTCGCAATGCAATGACAAATTTACTATATTCTTTTGGGCCATCAATTTTTTTGATCTATATAGATGCTAGAATCTCAGTTAAAAAATACAAACTAATTTTCTCAAGTGCAAAAACAATTTCCGATTTCAGTGCGCTTTTAAGTCTGCCATAGAAGGTTCAAAGATTTGATTGGAATACCATTTCTTTGTGGGATACAGGGTGTCCCCTAATCGAGCAGTCTTGACTCGAACTTTCTTATCTGCTATTAAGTAAACACTACACAGCTAGCTATAAAAAAGTAAAATATATGTACCTATCAAATGTATTATTAAATATTATTTATTTTCTTGCGTATAGCATTACATATATATAGATGTATATCATTGGGAACGCTATTCGTCTGAAGCATGTGAAGTGATATTTTCATCATTCTACAATTCTTTTATACATACGTTGCCAGGTAGATAGTACTACCTGACTGTTATTGCGTACATCGTAGTTTTTAGTGGTTGTTTTCGGGCAGCAAAAGTGGTATAAAAGGCAGACACTGCAGAACAGAATCATCATTCTTACTCCAGCTCTTATATCGACCGGATCAGTTTTGATATTTTGCTTTAAAATGATTGCCGAGAACATTCCACATGGCAACACCATCCCGAAGCCAGCGAAGAGATCGTTTACTGGTGCTGTCGTAAACCTGAAAAAACTAATGAAAACAGTAAAACGAATTTTCGAAACATCGAGGCCAGCATTGGAAGAGCACTTCTCTGAACCGATTTTGACAAGTGCTCCTACAGAGGAGGAGCTTCAAAACTGGCTTAATGAACAAATCGAAGCCAAAAAGGAGGCGCTGTAACAGAATTCTGCTGGAACTCCTGACGATCTGTGATAGGACTTGTGCTCCGGCACGATTCCAATGTCGGCAAATGGCTTTAAATTCATTCTGTGATAGCGAGAGTACGAGACTGATGAACATAGATATGTACACGCCTCGAGAGCACTTCAAGATCACGCCTCTTGCCATTTATACAATTGCAAATGCTAAAATCTTGATTAAGGGCTCATTGATCATTGTCTTCCGTAGCTTTAAAGTAATTGCTTAAATGTTTATTTGAATAAATAAAATGAAACTGAATAAAAAAGATTTTTTGGTCTTTTTGTAATTAAAATTGATATATTTTGAAATTTGGGGCAAACTTCATATGTATCTACAAAGATGACGTATTGTCATAACTTTATCTTGTGCAATCATATTTTTAGCAAACATATCATATCAGCTACACCAATACTTGTAAGTCCGATAACAAAATGAGAATTCAGGGTCTATGTGAAATCGTTGATCTGGGAAATTATGAGTTAGATTATTCATATTTTAGCTACAACAATTAAAAAGTTATTAAACATAAGTAATTAAATAATGTCTGTTACATATTTTGAGTTCGAGTCTGATGTATATTTTGTACAGACTGGCTCCAAATTTCCCAAATCAAAAATATAGCAAACCTTAAATTGTGTAAACTAAGCATGAATCTAATTGCAAAATTTGGAGACTCTAGTTTCAAACAAGCAATTTATTAACTGAATTTCGATAAAGGTTTTAGTCAAAAACATAAAAACAGGAATAGTTATAGATTATTTAAAAAAGACTAGATCTGTGCTATTTAGGGACATACAATAAGTTGCATGGCTCTGGCTGTGATAGGCTCTGATCGACGCACACATGATGAATATTTACATGATTAGATATCATTTTGTTAAATCAAAAAGGGGCAACAATTACTAAGTATTTAAATTTTGAGTTTCTAACTGCAAAACTGTAGATAATGCTTCTTTTTCAACTTGCCAATTATTGTCGTCAAATCCTTAAAAGGAGTCTACAGTAACTTTCATATTTGAGGGCTATGGCTCCCAAACTGTGGCAATTTCAGAATATTTTCGATTTGCAACGCCTCCAAGGATCATCAATAGAGAAGTTTAACAGTCACTGAATAATCGTATTTTGTTAGTTTCTAACCTAAACATTTAGTAGACTTTTGCGAGCCTTACATGCGTACATAAACGCAGACAACATTGAACAAAACCAATATACAGTTTCAGTTTTTAAGTAGTATAAAAATGATTCATTGAAAACATTGTTTTTATGTTGTTCATAATTATAGCGTTTTGGTCCTGTGGAATTGGGAGTTTCTTAAAATTCATTTATTTATATACATATATATTGCAACGAAATCACGCCATCAAATAAAGCATATTAAAAAGGCGCGCCCAATACAATTTGAATTACCAAATTAATTTTAAACATGATTTGGGCACACTGAATGTCCTCACGCGCACTATCGGCAAGCCAATTTAAATTGTTGTGTAATCGATAGTTCAATGCCTATTTCGTGCTGCCAACTTACGTTAAATATATCTAGAAATTTACCGCCAAACTGTAAGTTTAAAAGAAAAACCACAAAATGTAGGGTTTGTTTTAAGTAGACCCATAGACAATGTGAATTGAAAGTTTAATGGTATTTACATTTTTATATAATTAGTATTAAAATGTATGAAAAAGGCATGAAGGGGTATACCTGTCCGTCTGTCCATATGTATGAAAGCCTGGATCTCAAAATATACATGCTAGAGATTTTTCTGTAGGTGCCCAATAGCAGGAGCCCGGGTTAGTTTTAAAAATTCCTTTCATTCCTTTCAGGTATGGACTTTTATTGCGCACCTCTTATGAGCTAGTCTCTACATTTGGCAACTAGTTTCATGTATATATAATATTTGATATTTTTTATTATGGATATCGGATTAAACAAAATCGTGGACTTAAAGTTCAGATGAAAATATTGTTCAATATTCTGCAGAAAGCATTTTATAAATAAATTGCAGCATATGCAATAGAATAACTTAATTAGATGCTAAAAACATGACATATTAAATAAAATGTTTGGTCAGTCACATGAAGGCGACAAACAGCGCCAAGCGTACGCAGGCTTCTACATGAATCGCAATTGCGATTGAATAGTGTTTTAATTGTGAGTTGTCTGTAGAGGGTTGGCAGTGTTGGTGGTCCGTTGCGCCTGGGGGCTCAAGTTGTGGTCATGGTGGGCTTACTTTCTCTTTTGCCAAACATACTATTTGATTGTGAAGGTGCCCGTTAGTATGCTGCAGGGCGCATGGTTTTTAGGCAAACATTTTGTAAGTTTCATACTATAATTTAAAACATATGAATAGCTCATAGATTAAAAAGTCAAAACTGAAAACAGCAGCTGCAAATAGCCACAAGGAAAAGTGAAACTGATACATTTAACTGTAAGTGGAAATGATACACAAAGTGGATTGGTTCTGGTAAAACGGTATATTTATTTCAACGCTTATATTCAAAATTTGCATTAACAATATATATTGAATATAATTATTTATAAGTAATCTTTTCATTCAATATATGTTTAAGTGCACTTAGTTTTCATTATGTGTGTGTGTTGTGTGGGTATCCAAGGTCCTGTCTGTTACAGCGTTTCTTTAAAAAAAGATGTTATAGTAATGAGAGAAAAATCTGATGATGATATGTCGTAGGTCTGCATAGGAGATACAAATATCGTAATAGATATAGATGAGTTCATATAGTATAGTTACAATATCCACCAGTGGCGTTTAAGTCTGTTTCAAGTTTCGAACATAAGATCAATAAAAGATATTTGTAAACGGAGGACAAATGTGGGAAGCTATCTCAAAGGAAGATTTTGTAGTGGAAGCCAAATTTAGGGTGCATTGGAACTGCCCATAGGAGAAACCCCATATAATAATCAATGGATCATAATTTTCGATCTAAAATTTAGTTTAAGTTGCCTTGGAAACGTAAATATGGTTTTTGTTTTCTTATTTTCTCGTTATTCAATATTCGATTTATCTAATATAGTAAGCCAATGGGATACTGACCAATTGTTATCTTTCGTATTAAAAAGCAAGCGAATCTGCACAATCTCAATTCATGCTACTGATAGTCGACGGAGTCACTGTCCAGAAACGTCGAGGACACTTCCGAGATGCGTCGATGCCAGTAGTCCTGATACCGCGATTCGTGTTGTGCAGCAGAGCGCCACGGTGGCCATTTCAGCTATTCCTCAACAATGTCCCATACCATGAGTGAAGCGTCTGTTCCCCCCACAGTGATGAGCGTATGATCCCCGCACAAGAAGCGCACACAGGCCAACATGCCGGAGTAAACCTTGGACTCGTGGAACTCGGCGCGCGATGAGATGCACGGATATCTGTTAATAATAATTGCTTTCAGATTAACACATCGCTAAACGGCGCGCATCATCTCTAACCTGAACAAACGTAGATATCCGTCTGCATCACCTGATGCGAGCATATCGTGTGCCGCAGAGCGACTGCAGGTGGCTATGATAGTGTTTGCATTGCTGTAGTAGCGATTACTCCATTGGCCAGCCACCAAGAAGCCCACTGTGCAGTTGTTGCTCAGCCATTTAACGTCTTTCATGGCAATGGGACTGCGCTCCGGAGAGAGAGACTTTGCGTCCCAAAACAAGAGGTCAAAGTCAATGGTCACTGTCTGCACAAAGTTTCCGTCCATGCTCCAATCCAGATGCGTAAGCGGCTGAGAGCCGCGTATCTTGTTGACTTTCTTGTAGGAAAAACCATCGCGCGAGACACGGAAAAGGTAAATGCTGCCATTTTGCGAGCCCATTGCAATCATATCACCAACTGTTTCACAGATTCAGTGGATATTATAGGTATAGTAAGGATATCTGCTCATATATACTCACCCTGATTAAATGATACGCAGTTCAAAGGTGAGCCACATACACGAAGTGTTAACATAACTGCTCCGTTGTCACAGTTGATGACCAGCAGGTGGCCTTCGGTGCTGCCAGCAGCTAATGCCGTGCCAAACGGATGGAAGGCCAGTGCCACGCACTCGTAGCCCGTTTGTATGGTCCAAATGAGCTTGTTCTTGCGCCACAGTGCCACGTGTTTGTCATGGCCGGCCGTGGCATAAAGTTCGTCCTCGGGATGGGCGGCGAGGCCCCACAGCTGTCTGCCGTGGCCGAAGACAACCTGTGTGAAGCGCCGTTGCAGCGAGCCCTCCAAGATGTTATTTCTTGTCGTCCCCACGTAGATGTTACCATCATTTCGACCTGGTCTCTGTGGATAAATTGTCCGCACGCCACCGGCCGCTTCGGGTAGCTGAGGCATCACATCGATTAATGTATATATATGTTTCTTACGATTATAGAGGACACTTCCTACCTTTGTGTCTGCAATTTTCTTATAATTTTGCAGCGAGTCCCAAGCGGCAATTTTGCGATCCTTTTCGCCGCCCGACAACAGAGTGCCTTCCCCCAGCATAATAAGGCAGCCTATGCCCTTATTGTGGGCCTCAAACTCGGTGCGCACAAAGTATGCGCCATCAGAGTCCACGGAGTATATGGTAATGAAACCGTCGGAATCGGCGGTAATCACATCGCCATCCGGCTCGAATTGTACGCTGGTAACGTGAGAGCGCGACGGCTGCTTCACAATATCCGTGCGTTCAAAGAAACCATCTTTACGCCGATGCCAGAAGGCTAAATGACCACGACCATGAGTGATGATAAGATTATCATCCAGAGGATGGAATGCAGCGCCCGACAGGCCTTCCTGCAAAGTCTGCAAGTAGAATAAAGCAATCGAAAATCAATAGACATCTTTAGATGGGGTAAAGTTTGCTTCTCACTTACAGCCACTTTGCCCAACAGGTGGCCCCATTGCCACTGCCAAACGGATAAGATGCTCTCGCGTCCGCTGTCCACGGCCAGGATATAACTTCCGCCATTCTGAAGGAGAAATACATAGATGAAATTGTGAATATACTAAGCGAATGTACTAAGCGGTAATTACCAATTGGGAGAAAGCTACTGCGGTAACTCCTGTATCCAATTCGCCCATGCCAAAGACGTAGAGTGTCTGCAGTGACTCGGTACTCCAAATACGGACATGCGCCTGTGATTTACGATCGCGTCCAGCCTTCTGACCCGACGCCACCAATTCACGAGACGGATGCACATCCATGCTAAGCAGAAACTTGAGACATGAAAATTGATATTTCAAATGCTTTTGCTTACCACATGATATCCTCCGTATGACCTATGTAGTGGCGCTGTGCATCCTCGTCGCGATCGAATAGTACGGCCACAGCAGCTACATAGTAGAGTAGCTCTCCGCTCGGCAGTACCCAGAGGTTGCGCCGTGCATCGATTCCTCTATAGCCGTGTCTAATGAATGCCAAGCAATAATAATTAATGAGAAAATGTTGTGTTCACATTCACGTTCTTAGAATATATACTCACACCCACTGGAGTTGCAGTTTTTTGTCTGGGGGCGAATTTTCAGCCGGTGCATGATGCACAGGGGGATAGAAGGTACGCCTTAAGCCCCGTATGGTCACTTTTGTGGGCTCCTCTTTCATGATGTCCAGCATGGTGTACTCTCCATTCGGTCTAAGTATCTCACTCTCTGGAGCATAGAGAATACGCGGCCGGCTCTTGCTCCGAGGTCGCGTGCCACGCAATGGCACCTTGGGCAGTTCCTCCGTGGAGAGTATGGGAGCGGCAGCTACCACCGAAGGACGTGAACGCGAACGTCGAATGGGCGAGCCAGCAATCAAGGCCGTCCCAGTGGCCAAATAGAATGTGTCTACGTCGGCGAACTCATTGCGTAGCTGCGAGAAACTGCGAACCTGTTGGCCGGCCCATAGAGTAATCAGCAGCATGTTGCAAATGTGTGATATTTAGCAAGGTTTTTGATATCTGGCTTCTTATATTAGCTTATGATAATTGAGTTAAACGAACAGAACCCCCCAGACCCCACGTGGTCTTACCTCCTGCCCAGTACCTGTGTACATTTTTTTAGCTCCGTTAATTTTCAGCACTTGACCCAAATCCTCGAGCACTTCCTCAAACGGTTGCGAGGTGCGTAGGTTAAGTAAAACACGGCACTGGAAATCATAGAAGTATATGTATAATGTGTATATATAATATGTTGCGTTCTTAATCTAATGGGCTGGGCACCAGAGACCGTTTTATGAGTGGGTAATTAGTCAGGGAGCCATAAAATATGAATTATTGGGCTGTGTAAAGTATGAACGCATACATGTGGAGCTCAGCATTGACTGCGCGCATTGACTTTTCAACACTCGTCCTGCGACAGGAACTTAGCCGTGACACGCCACTTCCGCTTCCGCTGCCCCGGCCATGACACTTCAAGTTTGTAAGCCAAGTTGGCAGCAACAAATATTTATAATTACGTGCCTACACACACTCTCTCACAGAGAAATGTTAATGTATATACATATATAGGAATATATATTCATATTCACATTCATACTCATATTCATATTCATGTGGCGACACCAACATCCTCGTATGCGTCTTGGCTGCTCCACAAGCCGAGGCTGTGACCCACTTTGCGTTTTATTTCACTGCTTAATGGTATTATTTGTAGTTGCTAGGGGTCGTCGGGCTATTCCAGCATTGTTTGCCATCTACTTGTGCTGCTTCTTGCTGTTTTGGTTGCCATTGCTCGTTGCTGGTTGTTTGTTGTTTATTGTTGTTGTTGTTGTTGTTGTTGCACTTAAACTTTTGCGCTCATAATTGGATGTACACGCAACATCCACCCGCAACCCAGATGAGCGATACGCATTGTTGCATTTGGCTGCTTAGCTGTAGCTTTAGTTGCTTTTGCCTTCTGCTCTCGGTACTTGTGTCAAGTGTGCATCTTGAGTTTTAACGACCTTCAGACCGTGATATCTGTTAGTCACGCGAGTCCATGTCTCGCAAAAAATTAAAGCAGCTGGCATAAACTTTATCTGCCCTGGTCCTGCTGACAATTGCCAACAGGACCAGCAGGACCAACAGGACGAACTTTGACATTTTGCATGAACTGGATCTAATTTATGTATTTAGTTAATATTCGTTGGAAAAGTGGCTAATGCTTTTATTTCCATGTTGAGAGCTGTCTGCTGTTGATTTTGCTTAGACTGATTGCGAAACTTTATCGTTTTTTTGGCTCTCAGCAGCTGGCTTAACATTTGACTGCCCATCAACATGAAGGTAGAGGGCTATTATAAAAGTGTGGCGCATAAAATAGCAACTGCATAAAGTTTATTTATTTAATGCATATCAGATTATCAAATTATGTATATTCTTGTTATATTCAAGACCATTGTAAACATATCAATCAACACTTAAATCGACGGGCTGGGAATTAATAGACATTCTCTGTGTTTCTGGCCACAAAACCAAAAAATCAATGGAGTTGCGAACTGATTGAACAAACGGAATCGATGAGAACTATCAGCAGACGTCACTGATATGTATATATATATATATATATATATATATATATATCTATATATATATATATATGTGTGTATATATATGTATGTATGTATGTATATATGTATATAAATTTTATGAACTCTTCGTTGTACATTGTCATCTGTCGCATCTTGCAGTTCAGCTCAGAAGTAAAACGGTTTTCTTGTATTGTCATAAAGCTGGAATAAAAGGTAAAGATTGCATAGCTCCTAACCCGGTACTAGTATTATTATTAATTATATGTTAGCATAGAGTAACCGATAGAACAGAAGTTTCTTCAGGCAACTGAATCAAACTTTAAGTATGTACTCAGTACCTACGCCGTAGTTGACATATGGAATGTATTCCTAATCTTATAAAGTGTTAGGACTTTTCCGATACGCCCACTGAGGCGTGGACAATCGAAAAATTCTATATCTGATATGTCAGAAACGCTATTAGTACCATGCTCTGGTGACCCCAATATTAAAGGAATAAGAATACGCTTAGACCCATTGGGAGCGTGACAAATCGGGTAAAACAGTATCTTCGACAGCTGTAGAGCCATAACCCCAGAATTGCACGTGAATTACTGGGAAGATCCTTTACACATCACCGAATTATACTTCCACACGCACGGGGAGCATGGCAAACCTAGGCCATGGAAAATCAACCAAGCAAAGTTTTGTAGCTGACAGCGTTTAGACCGTGAATAAGTATTATGCAGTCGATAACGCCCGACTGCAGAATTCTCGCTTGCTTTTTGTTTTTTGTTCGGTTTTCATTTTTATACAGTTGTGCGTAAACGCTCAAAACTGTCCCATTTGGAGCATCTGGCTTTATGGCCGTTGGTGGCTCGTCGACGGGGCGAAACTGGGATGGAATAAGCGTTTGCTGACTGCCGCTACTGTCGGCCACTATTAATCACGATTTGTTGATTGTTTATCAAAACGAAACACCTGAGGCTTACATTGTTGTGAGCACTCTGGCTATGATATGTGTGCTCTTGCGACGGCAGACCATCAAGCATGAAGCGGTGCGATGAGACGTGTCGCACTCAGCGGATGGAATTGACAGTAACGAGAAGAAGATTCAATAATTCATAGTAAACTAGTCAACTATTAGGTATAGATTTACTTCGAAACTTCAACTTCTGAATATGTACAATCTGCAAGCTGTACACAAATTATGCATGATTGGCACTTATGGCAAATATAGTTCTCTCTCTCTCTCTCTCTCTATCTGTCTGTCGCTGTCTGTATGTGTCTGCCAGAGTTTAAGCTGCCAAATTACAGGGACTCTATGGGGCAGGCAGGAGCAGCAGCTGCACTCAAGATGCCTGGCGTTGCAGTATAAACAAATATAATTATGTGTGCAAATAATTACATTACGCAGGCAACTCCAATCAGGTGACCCCAAACAAATGGCATTTGTTAAGCCAATTACGTGCACTTTCGATGAGGGCGGGACTGGGCGGCTCACAGGCAACAGCTGCCGGAAGAAGGAAGTATGGACTACGCCATGTCCGATGCATGACACAATCATGTGTGTATGTATTTTTGTATTTGTGTTTGTGGACTGCGCAGCAGACAGCAGGCAACAGCTGCAGAGCTGAAATTTTAACATTTTTTAAGGCTCCAAAGTGAACTACGCCCACACTTGTCCAATAACCCAATCCAGGAGTTGGAGCTCATGGTTGATTTCGTTTCTCTGTTTTTACAATCACTGACATTTTTTTAAAATAACTTTTGCGACTCCTTCATCCAGTCGACACACAGGAATTCAATAAAATACAGAAATATCTGCATAAAGCAGAGGACCACTAAACAAGCAAGCGACCGCCTTGTTGCAAGCGAAGAAAGGCAGAAGACAAAGGCTGCAGTCGGTTGCAACCGACTTTGGAATACCTTAAAATTAATACTTTTGTGCATACAATAATTTTATTATAATTTTAAATATTTTACATATTGAGATTCTCTAAAAATAAAATGCAAAATAAACATAGTTGGCTTGCAGCTTAAACTTTGTTGAAGTGAATTATTTTTTGTGAAAGTGCTAAGTTAATTTCCTTCACATTTGTAAATATGTCTACAGCTATATAATTACCAATAATCAATACACTGGACAATTAATACACTGAACCTATGATTACCAGCTATGATTTTTAGTTTTGAATCTAACTTTTATTAATTTAAGCTGAGTTAATGCTGTAAGCAATGTTTTTCTTAGGCAATTATAGCCCACAATAAAGTAAAATGAATACAATAAAATTAGTATTTGGGCTTCTGAATAGTATACAAAATTTAAATAATAAAAAAATAATAATATCTATCTGTCAAGAATTGGCGAATAATAATGAATGAAATATTTGAAATAATGAATAAAGTAAAATAAAGTATAAAATACTTCGTACAAATAAATAAGTAATTTGGAATAATTTTACGTATTATTACTACGCATTTACAGGGCAAGTCAAAGCTGTAAACAGGATATTATATATTATATATATAAATTTATATATTCGAACACTGACTTATTCCATTTTTTGGTCTGTTAAAATTTTTATTAGCTAAATTATTTTGCATAAATTTGGTAACTAAGCTTTTATTTGTTATGACATAAGCTTATGGGGAAGCCAGGCTCAAATGCCTCGACTTGCAGCGCATTCGTAGTGGGGCGGGACAATGCACTCTTTGTGGGTTTTTGCATGCTTTTCAGGGCCCAGCACTTTTTATGTTTGCCGTCAGTTAACGTATGTCCATGGATGTCAGGTGTTGTTGCATCAATTTTTGTTGGCATGTCTATGTTGACTATTCAATACGCCTGCGGGTTGGAAACATTAAAGCCTCGCCGGTATGGGCATATGGAAAGCTGGAGAAGTTTTCATGTATGTGCCGACACCATAAGTGAAAAGTAAAGATGATCATACGTCAGCACGCAACTTTCCATGACAAAGTTGAAAGAACCAAAGTAGAATGCGGCACGTTGCACGTGCTACTTTAGGTTGCCAAATATTATTTAGCTCCTGCCACGAAACTGCAGCACGCCATTATGCACAACCACTTATTGTGGCAGCAGCAACAACGAAAAGAGCCAAATGCAGTCGCCGTCGATGGCAATGGTAATGGCATCGGCTAATGGAAGTATTTCTATGTCTCTGCAATACTCAGATTGTGTGATTGTGCTGGTCTTTAACATATTTGGCAGTATTCCTTGTTCCATTTGTCGTCGCTGGGACATGTCCTTGGCCTGTTTGGCCAAGTTTGGAGCACTAGTTTCGCCTCTGCTGGAAACAAAACTTTAAGCCTTTCCAAATTCATTTTGTCGCTGCTGACTTTACGATTGTTGTTTATGTTTCAAGTATGTACTTGGGAGGTTTGAATTGTTGCTCGATTCTGTGGCTATTGTCTGACAGCTATTTGAATTCAATGCGACTTTTAATCTCTTCTGGACAGTTAAAACACACATGTAATTAATATATCCGAAGGCAATTAGTACGTCACATGTTATTAAACAAAACTTATTTTATTCAAGAAAACTAATTAATTGTTTGCACTGTGCAATTTTGACAGAGATAATGCGATTATTTCACAGGAAAAATAGCGAGAGAGGGTTCTCTTGGAATCACGCTCTTCAGTGAGTTCCTCACTAGATACTCCAAAACTGATTCGAACCCGAGACTCCTCACCATAGTTAAATAATAAATGCAAAAATAAGCACGAAAGACCGATTCGCGTATTTAAATATACTCCATTTAATATAAAGAAATATATATTAATAATGTCATCGCAGCTGCTATTCTGTGATTTGAAAAGAATTCACGCATTTGAATGAATGTGTGCACACCTTTGATTGGTGTTACTTGTCACCTGCCTTTGCCTACTGACCAAACTCGTTTTCAATGCAAATGCCATGCAATTTTCAGCATACGAACTACAGGTTCTGTTCTATATATGCCAATTTAATATCGACTATTTGCGCAACTGAACTTTAAAGTTTAAGAATTATAAAAAAATTATAAAATATACATGAAACTAATGGCAAAATTGGATGACAGTGGTTGCAAAAGCGTCCGTAATATAATTTAATAGCAAAAATATAGATAATGTTTAAGTTAATTATATGAAACAAATTTTTTGATTATTTGAAACAATTGCCTTCCTTAAAAGGTTTGGACATATTATTTATGCCTTAGAGAAGACTGGCTAAGGCCAGGCATATTGGAAATGAGTTTACAAATTTGATAAACTATACATGGAAGTAAGCACAATATTTGGCTGCAGCTTTAAAGACTTAAGATTAGGTTTGATGTACTTTAGCCCAGTCAAATTATAATGTTGATGATGGCTTGACAAACTGAAGAAGCTATTATCAATTGAATAATTGTTACAGATTGAAATGGCTCAAAGGCATTTGGCTACGGCTATAAAGAACATTAAGTTCGACTGTTAGTAGACAATATTTTCAAATAAAGCGCAGAGCTTGTGCAAAACTAATACGTTTTGCTTATTATACTCTGGACCTTTCAAAATAGTAATTTAAGATTTATGGTTATAAGTGCTTAGTGAAAATGTACGCAACAGGTAGAAGGAGGCCTGACAAACCTAATAAAAAATATATATATTCTTGACCAGGACGATGAGCAGAGTCGATTCAGCGTTGTCCACTTCGTCCGTTTATGTAGCTTTGTGGACATACAGTCTATCCGCTTTTCAGTCCGTATGAATGAGGGGATCTCGCAGGCTCCAAAATCCCTTGAAATTGTAATTATTTCTTTTTGTGTACCCGCAATACAACTTAAGAATTTCTTTCATATAATTCATCGCATTTTGTTATAAATGATGAAAATCCATAATTTCTTCGTTTTATCATATATCAAAAACAATTTACTTTGGTAATGGACAGAGTACCTCCTCTCTTGCATGAGTTGTTTGTTATGTACGTACGGCTGAAAGAGGCGTAGAATTGCAATACCGCATCTTTGCAAGGCTTAGGGTGTCTCTTAGTCAGACAGTCTTACTTGTTTTTAATTTCTAATTTCGGATTTCTAATTTCAGAAAGCTAGTTACCACATACACTATATCATGATTAGGATAATTTGACAACGTAACTCCCTCGGAACTACTGCGCCACACTGTGTCATACATAAATGTCAGTGAGTCATCTATTTCATATTTGGATGGTGAAGGAATCCTGCTGACACCGACAAAAAGCTTTTACCAAAAGCTGTACAGTCAAGTAACCTTGAGAAGTACTGGAACCCGTGGCGAGGTCAGCACAAACTTCGTCCTGCAAATGCACCCACGTCATAATAATGCCATACTTACTATGCTTTTACCTAAGACTCAGACTACGTGGATCGCCCACTGTGTAACGTATTTGTATTCATAAAACATCACACGCCTCTCGAAGAGTCCAAAAGAGTGCTTAAAAATTGAGTTGCACTTAGTAAAATTACCATAAAACATTATTACTGCCTTGAACCTTACACCAATCTATCAGAAGCCAAACCCAAACCTAGAACCGACTCTGCGACCAACCAAGCGTGGATAGTCCAAGATGTGGGGTAAAAGTGGTAGTCCCATACCTATTCATGTTTTGGGCCATTTTTGCTATAAAGTCAGCAAATATTTAGCCTGCTGTGCTGTGTAGAGCGAGAGTGTGGGCGCCCCGGCTTTTTGTATTCCAGCGGAAACAGCAAAATTGGCCATGGCTTCAATTTGGTTCTCGCGCCGCTTATTGCATGCATATAATAAAATACAAATTGCAGACAATTGATTTTCCATATGATTGCTGCATTCCTTTGCGCGTGTGTGCCGAAAAGTAGGCAAAGGTTAATTGGCCTATGCGCGCGCTCTATATCCATTTGAATGTCAAAGTGAAATGCAGCTAGTTATTGACCCTTGTGTCACCCCTCTCTGCTCTTATGGAAAATAAGTAACTGTGAGCAGCCGGATCTATATGTCTGGAAAATAGACTGTGTTCTACAACAAATGCGAGTCTCTTACAAAAGTTTTGCCTAGAGTAGTACCATTTCATATCTCAGTAGCTTAGTGTGATTGATATGGGATATATGATACACAATAATCAACACTTATCACACGCCGTTGAACAAAAAGTCATTTTATATTTATTAGTTAGTTAGGAAATACAAAAGTGAATATCTGCTGCATTTGTTTACCTACAACAAAGTGATGCACATGCAAATAAAATAAATATATTAAAGCAATAGTTTATTTATTGAAAACGTGTGTTGCTAAGTGGTCAATCGAACGCAAACGAACCAAACAAATAAGATTTGTGAATTCAATATCTGAAATGTAAACATGCAGAGTTGAAAAGTAAATTGGCTAAAAATACATTTGGGCTTCGCGACCAGGTGATCAGCAGGTGTGACGCATGTGTTCTGTATACAGATTAATGCATATATGGTATTATTTGCAAATTTCCTCTGTTGAATGTTCAATGTTTTTTCGACATACGCAAAATAAATTGACATTTGTATAAAAAAGTAAAAAGTGACTGGAATTTATATATAATAATCGATTGACAGTTGACAGTTGACAGTTTTCGCTATAACTATGTATATAATTTACATCATTAATGGCCTGTTGTTCAGCGATTTCTTCAATTATTATCTATCAATTTTCTAATCCTTTATATTTACAGTAATTTAGCTGCCATATAATTATATGTACATACTTTAGGGCTCTATGCAAACGCAGTGAATAAAACAATTGTACAAATATGAAAATCGAGAGCTAACCAAATATTATGGAAATTTGTTTTGTTTTTTTTTTTCATTTGCATTTAGTATTACAAACTGCGAGGAATGAAACAATAAAAACATTTGCAGAGGAATGCATGTAGCTGACAAATATTTGGGAGACTCGAGCCTCTGCACTCACCTGAACGGAATGATCCAAATTATTGATGATGCGTATCACCCGGCCTGCACTGCGCTTTATCGAGCCCGATGTGGTCGATAATGTGCCCAAATCCGCTTCCATTATTGAGGGCTTTCGGCTGGCGGGCTTGGAGCCCCAGCCCTGATTTCCGGGCGAAGCGTACCACATGCCGTTCTTTTTACCGTAGCTGGCGGGCTGTCCGCGGAAACGAAAATAAACAAATAGGAAAATACGTAAATTGTTGGAAAGTCCACCACTGACCATATACAAATACATATATATACACACGCGTGTGTGTGTGTGTGTGTTTGCATTTGTGTGTATATAGTTGTTGTTTGTCGGTAGGCGTTCGTTTCGTTAAGTTGACGTCTTTTGTGAGCAATTTTCGCGCAAATCTGAAATTAATGAAATTGTTTTGCTGAACGCAACAGCCATGGTTGAAATTGGTGACGATTCCTTAACGCCTTCGGGTGAAAATATAGCAGTATATATATGTTACAAATATATATATGTATATGTGTATATATATGTACCAATAAATCGATCTCGAGTATTAATTGTTTGTATTCAAATAGATCTATATATGAACTTGCCACGCAAATAAAATAGATAGTGAATGCTGCTAGAGATATGTTTTTCTTCGATTTATCACGCCTTAAAGCGACTAGTATATATCTATTTTTGTAAATAAATAGCTACGAAATCTTTAAATTTCGAATATTGAAATCTAAAATTGTAGAATATAGCTTTTCCTGATATACGCAGTCAGTAGGTGTAGTGGCCAATGCTTGGTAGTCTACAGTAACGTAACTGTTAAGTCTTCGATCTAAAGCTCCACAACTGGGAAAATTACAAGATATTTTCTATGTGCCACACCACCAAAGACAAAGAATATTTAATTTTATGCATCGATAGTGGAGGCAAACAGTAGCTCAATGATCTCCTTTCGGATATTGCGCTTCATGAACGATTATAACAAACAACTAAGAAAGCTCTAGTTGGGCGTGTCCGACTAGGAGACACTCTATGCCCCGAGTATATATACACTTTCACAATCAATGGCACATTTATTTCCCTATTTTGAATGGGTTCAAGGCAAATAAAAGTGTGAGATGTGCTAATGGCAAATGAAAAACTAAAGTGCTTCATTTAAATGGCTAAAAAATTGTACTAGAACTGTTTAAGAGGTGAGAATTCCATTTGAATTTTTACTTGCAGTCGACGCATTTCAATTTAATTCTATACACAAATATAATTTTAAGGAAAATGCCACCGGAGCTGTAGATACAAGAACTAAAATTGAAAATAATCCAAATTCGTTTATAACACAATTCTTCAACCAACATTTGTGTATTGCTCTGTGACAGCATGACCCCAATTACGCAGCAAGGCCTGTCGAGTCGAAATATACTTTAAATAAATAACCATATATATGGCTGTATATATGTGTGCCTATGTATGTTATATGTGTTGTGCATACATATTAAATCGGTATACGTGTGTATAGGTATATGCTCTCACACAGCAGGCGCACAGGGCCCAATCAAAATCAAGGTTTTTAATTGAAATTCAACAAAATGCTGTAAAATCGCTGTGGCAAGCTGCATTGGCTTTGAGTGTTAAAAACGCACTGTAGCAAACCCGTTTTTTCCGAATGCGACATCTCATAGTCGAATATATGAATCTCAATAAAAAATAACGGCACTAAGTATGAATTTAATGGCTTTCCATACCATTGTGCATTGAGCAAAAGTCGTACACCAAATAAAAGCTTTGAATTGATTTCTAATGAATTATTCCAATAGTTAACTATTTTGAATACTGATTAGACTGACTGGGGAATGTACTGTATTTTTGAACTCCCTTTTAATTTAATAAATAAAAACACGTTAACTTAACGAACTGTCGATTTATAGGTAAACACTTATTTCTAATGAATTATATTTCTAATTAATTATTCCAATAGTTAACTATTTTGAATACTGATTAGACTGACTGGGGAATGTACTGTATTTTTGAACTCCCTTTTAATTTAATAAATAAAAACACGTTAAATTAACGAACTGTCGATTTATAAGTAAACAGAAATAATTTATGAGTTATATTTATATTTCTATTAGTCTTATGATAAGATTGAACGGAATGTTTCTGCATTTTTTATATAAATTACAGCCGATGATACAAAAAAAAACATTCCATTGTGGTCAGTTGATTTAATCAAAAACCTTTACTTTGTTGTATAAAGATTGATCCGCGGTATATTGTGAATTTTGTCCATAGTTTTTGATGTGCAGCGTCAGTGCTGGGTTATTATCAATTTTGCATTCTTTCTGCTATTGTATCCACTAAAAATGGGAAGTCAGGTTATAATAGTGTGGAAAGACAATGGGTTGATTTAGGTCTTCGCGTCTGTCTGTCCGTATGTATGAACTCGTCGACCTTAAAACCTATAAGAGTTTGAGTCGTGAAATTACCCTTTCAACGTAAATTATGAATAAGTTGGAAACTCTGGTGGGAAGGGCCCGACTAGCAAATACATGGAACCCTGTCCAGCGCTTTGAATATTTTCTATAGCTTGTATCTAGCATAAAATACATATAGACGGGCAGTTAGTTATTAAATTATATGTCATATATCTTTTGGGCTAGAGTTAAATATTATATATATTTTTCTTTCGAATCTAATTTGTAAATATCAAATTGAGACTCCATATCTGCAGCTACCACTTGCTGCGTCAGAAGTGTCTCCTTTTTATCAACATCAATCATATTACCCCCTTCGTCTTGTCTAAATTCTGCCTCCAGTGACACATTTTTGACCTATTTCTTGTGACTGTATTTTTTGTCTTTATTCCAATTCACGTGATCACATAAGTTAACAAGATGATACATGAATTTTAAATTTAAGATACGTTTCTGACATCGTAATGCGTGAACCTATACACACCTTCATGGATGTAGTACAAAAGCTAAGGGAAACGAGTTGATTCGAGCCTTCGACAGATTTTGTTATTGGGCTACTTTAACTAACGCACTTATAGCTATGCTGCTAAGCAAATAGCTTTGCGAAAGCTGAAATTACGCGCTCAATTAAACTTTGAGCAACTCGGAAAAGCGAGCAGCAGTACGCAGGCAGACGCAATAAGCGCAACTTCAAAGCCCTTCGTTTGAGGTGCAGCCTCGCAGAAAATTCATTGAAGCAATCGACAAGGACCACGAACCCTTCAGTCCTTCAAGTGGTATCCCAATCGCAGTCACAGCTCAAGCACACTTCTTCCACATTACCCATGATCGCAGTGACTATTATTGCTTGGGGATATTTAATTTTATTGCCGTAAACAAAACGATTGTTACGCAAATATCTTGTAAACACATAAATACTCATACTTAAGAAGAAGTCTAGACTGTTTTCTGCTATTCAGGACATAAATCAACACTTGGCCTGGAATATGAACAGATAGTTGAGATGTGAGTATGCGAAACATCCCCCTGTTAGCTTTAGATTTCCATGTGATTGACGTAACCTAACTCTGTATTAAAGTATGCATTCATATATATACATATATATACTATATTCTATACTATATAATATATGCTGCTGGAATATGTTGTGAATTCTGTTTTGTCTAAGCCGAAATCTGGTGATAAAAATAAAAAAACAAATTCGACTTCTATGAATATTATAAACTTCATTTTTGAGAAACTCCTAACCTTAGCACACGTCTCATGTTGGCTGAATTTTTGCTTGGAAACCTTTCGGGGCATAATGGTTTTATTGGCATAATGGTTTAACTTGCTACAGATAGCAAAAGGCCTCATAACTGATTTAGCCCTATCCGTCTGCTAGTCCATCTGATTGTCTATGTGTGACGTCGATCTTGGAATCTATACGAATCACAGACTTGAAACTTTGCACATATATAGGTCCCCATATTAAGGTTTCATATAATTAATATATGTTCACATTTCTATGAAATCAGTCAAGATGTTATTAAGCAATTTAGTTTTTAATGTGGCAATGTTGAAATTTTTTAAAATTGAAGTGAAGGTGATTTCTCATAGCCAATACATTTTATTTTTACTGCTCGAGTGTTGAACTTTTGCATTCAATATTTAAAAGGCAATTAATTGTTTGCACTCCAGACTACTACAGTTTTATTTATTTGCCATTTATGATTTATATTTCGACGGTGTTTTTCAAAACTTCTTCTGAATGAGCGAAAAGTTTGTGGTAAATTATTTAAGGAATGTTCGGCTGAAAGAGTATATTGGTTTGCGCGATGACTGTCTTGCTAATCGCCCATCTATTGTAACTACAGACTTTTGGGAATTATTAAGTGTTTCGACCCACGCGCATTGGGGACGTGGCAAATCGGGTAACACTGTAGCTTCTTCAGTCTTAAGAATGTTTCTATGCGGCTCTACCTATGCCGCATAATGGTCGAAAAACTTCGTCGATTCGGCTTAAACTGATTTTAAAAGAAACATTCATGAATTAATAATTGAATGTATGCTGGAAAAGTTTAGGTTTTTGAAAAAGGTTGTCAGTTATCCAAATTGCATTTTGGGAAGATTTTACATATTATCGGACCGCATGCAGAAGGCAGTATATTCCTTTGAGGACAGCAAACAAAATATTTAAACATGCGCATACGGTGGATCAAAAAAATGGCAGTCGCACAGGCTGCACACGTACACCATTAAAAAACACTTAGAAAAACAACAAAAGTCATTTAAACTTTTTACCAACTTTTTTTTTTTTTGCAGTTCGACTGTGTGTGTACGGCAAATAGCAGAAAAAATGCGAAATTAAGAGATGTGTGCCGGTGGATGTTGGGGTGTAGGGATGTGGGGATGGTCGGGATGGTCAGGATGTTGGCGAGATGGTGGGGGTGGACCCATTGTTTACACTGAACACTGACCCAAGACTTGGTCGGCGATGTGAGCATCACAAAGGGCGAACTTTCCTCGCTATCCTCGTCGATGTACATTTGGGCGAAAGTTTTGCACTGGCCGTTGATGAGTCCGTGTTGGCTGTTGAGTGTTGGACGTTGTGAGCCCTGTGGGTGCGGCTGTTTGCTTACTTTAGTTGCCTCTTTGCTTTTAATTCACTTGCAGTTGCAGTTTTTCTTTACAATAACAATAACAGCAACACAGGAACAACAGCAACAATAGGAACTGCGCACAGCATTAAGT